AGGCAACAAATAAGAGAAGTTTGTTGTTATGGCTTACATTTAAGCTTTTGAGTTTTTATGCACTTGCCAACATATTTGCTTATCATGCCTACTGCCATTCGCTCTGTGTTTTTAATTTTTCACTAGCAAATGTGATCTTTTTGGTAAAACAGGAATTCAGAATGTTAATCCGCATGTATAAGGAATGTATATTTACATTTGTTTTTATAACATTTCTGTGTAGACTTTTTTGTTATCTGAGCTATTTCATAGATACATGCTTTGGGAATTGCCCACTCTTTTATATAGCCCACTATGTACCTGCACACCTTAAGTGATATATAACTTGTCCACAAGAGTTAAATCCCCAAGAGTTACAGCCTTCTTCCAACACATTTCCCCTCTCACCCTACCTCCTTACTGAAAATGCTGCTAATGTACATGTTCAATACACTGTATAATATATAAATATATAATTTTTCGGTATCCAGAAAAATATTAATTATAATATACTTCAAACTATGTAAATCTAACAAAGTCCCACAAAAATCCACAAAAAGAGTCCAAAAAAGTCACACTTTCACCCCTGAAAGTGAATCAAATAAATAAAACCTTTTTTGTGCCTGTCAATGAATTATAATACAAAATAAAGTCCACAAAAGTTATTACTCTTCCGTGTCCAACTTGCACTTCCACATAAATCCAGATAAAGTGTGTACCTTAAAAAAATAAAAATACTACATTATGCATTACCTTCAATAACAGCTAGTATATACTTTAGCAAACAATAAGTATATACTTAACACAAATAAATGCAAGGATAAATGAGATTCAAATCGTGTGCAACACTTGAATTGTGAAATCACTCCGTGTATACCTTAAATAAATAAATTAAATGTGAGCAATCAGTGTACACACTCAAAAATAAATAAAAAATAAACAAAAATAATAAAAAAACAAAATAAATTAAATAAATAAATCAAATAAAAATAAGTAAATAAATAAATAATTAAATAGTGCACTCTCCATGAACACTTCTATAGCTGAAATGCATCCCTTCAGAAGAATTGTATGCATTTCAGCTATAGAAGTGTTCACGGAGAGTGCACTATTTATTTACTTATATTTTTATTTTATTTTATTTATTTTGTTTTTGGATTATTTTTGTTTATTTTTTATTTATTTTTGAGTGTACACTGATTGCTCACATTTATTTATTTTATTTATTTATTTAAGGTGTACATGATGTGATTTCACAAATTCATGTGTTGCTCACGATTTGAATCTCATTTATTATTTTATTACTTATTTGTGTTAAGTATATACTTAGTGCATTACCTTCAATAACAGCTAGTATATACTTTAGCAAACAATAAGTATAAACTTAACACAAATAAATGCAAGGATAAATGAGATTCAAATCGTGTGCAGCACGTGAATCGTGAAATCACTCCGTGTACACCCTAAATAAATAAATAAATAAATGTGAGCAATCAGTGTACACTCAAAAAATAAATAAAAAATAAAATAAACAAAAATAAAAAAAAAAAAATTAAATAAATAAATCAAATAAAAATAAGTAATAATAAATAATTAAATAGTGCACTCTCCATGAACACTTCTATAGCTGAAATGCATCCCTTCAGAAGAATTGTATGCATTTCAGCTATAGAAGTGTTCACGGAGAGTGCACTATTTATTTATTTACTTATTTTTATTTGATTGATTGATTTATTTCATTTATTTTGTTTTTTCTTTATTTTATTTATTTTTGAGTGTACACTGCTCACATTTATTTATTTAGTTATTTAAGGTGTACATGATGTGATTTCACAATTCACGTGTTGCTCACGATTTGAATCTCATTTATTATTTTATTACTTATTTGTGTTAAGTATATACTTATTGTTTGCTAAAGTATATACTAGCTGTTATTGAAGGTAATGCACTATGTAGTATTTTTATTTTTTTGAGGTACACACTTTATCTGGATTTATGTGGAGGTGCAAGTTGGACACGGAAGAGTAATAACTTTTGTGGACTTTATTTTGTATTATAATTCATTGACAGGCACAAAAAAGGTTTTATTTACTGTATAATATACATTGGAGGAATACAGCTCCCACCAGGAGCCCAATATACTCAATAGCCAGTCTACACTGTATCTATTAAGCATCTAAGTTTCTCCCTGAAGTTGAGGAGTGGCTATAAGTGGAGGGTGAAGAGTAGTATAAGTGGCCATGCATCCACTAGTGTGGCTGTAAGCATGAAGAGAAGCGATGCTGGGACTTGTCATTCTACAGGGACAGGAAAAAGGAAGGGCATGGTTCCAAAAAAGACAAGACCTAGCTGGTAAAATAGATAGATTACATATTTTATTAATAATGCATTATTAATTATTATTATTAATAATAATAAAAATAATAATAATTCTATATCCAAAAAATGGAAACACTACATGATTTATGATTTGTGAAAGTGACGACATGTGTCACGCTGAAAGCAGAGGTAATGTCTTCTTCTGCTGTGCGATGAGACACATAGCTGACAGGTGGAAAGCCTCACTTTCGTCATTCACTGCGTGCGCTACTAGTAATACGGAGTCATGTCAGAGCTTACTGAGCTTCAAAGAGGGTGAAGTGCTGGTGCCCACTTAGCTGCTGCCTCTGAAATTGACAACTTATGTGCTGTGTCGCGCGAGGTACAGTACCAAAGGTTATGATGGCATATACAGTTTTTCGGGAAAACTTAGTCTGATAAGCATGGTCAACATGGTCAGGTGACCGAAAGAGAGAGAAGGACATTGCACAGGATTGTGACCCAGAATAAGAAAACAACTGCTGCGAAAGTGACTGCAGAGCCAAATCTCAGTCTTCACGGGACTCAGTGTTCACCTTGGCAGCATGCTCCCCCCCCATTGTTTTTGTCTGCTATTTACAGAATGTAGAAAGAAGACCAGCATAATTGTAAAAAAGCAAATAGATAATCTGTGCAGACATATGTAACATATTATTTCTGATTTTTTTTTACCGGCACCATGAACGTTTTCTGGCAGGCTCCCTGCATCAGCCATAGTCCTAGTCCCATTCTCTACTTGAACATACTTACTCTAATGTCTTTGGCAGCCATTACCTCATTGGGCTAAAGTGGGGGTTCATGAAGCAAAATTTGCTGAGCCCTAAATGATATATCTAAAAAAAACAATGTTCAGGGCAGTGTACTGAAAAAGTAAATTGTTTTCAATTTCCACGTTTAGAAAAAATGCATCTTTTTCTAGAACTCTTTCATTGATCATATAGGATTTGTGAATTACGTGATTCTCCCCAAATCTGCATAGCACATTAAAAAAAAATATAAATACATTTTTGAAGTGCAAAATGAAATGCTAATTTCTTAAAGGAGACTCTGGTAGTATTAATACAAATGTAATTTTATGTTGTGTTCTGTTTCTAGAACATTCCTATTTTAACTTTAAAAGCTTACGCTGAAGAAATGAAAAATAATACCCATGTGAAGAAGTTCAGTATTGTGGGAACAAGAAGTAATGACCCAGTTGCGTTTGTAAGTAAACCACTTGAACTGTGGATAGTTTTTTTAAAGAGTATGTATGTGTGTGTATATATGTATGTATGTGTATGTGTATATATAGTGCATTCATAACATTTAGATAAGTTGATATGCAATTTTTTTTAGTCGGAATTTATATTTTTATATTTGTACATTTATAACTTTACATTACTAAATTGTGCGCTTATGAATCATGCAGTGACTCATGGGCAATCTTGCTCACAACAATTCACCACACTTACATACCAAGTTCACATGACTCGAACCAGTTCAATTGATAGTTTTGGGCACTTTCTAATGATTGCTCCCTGCAGTTGTAAACCTCAGACATGAAACATGAACAAAGCATATCTCTCTATAGTGTGTACTTGCCTTAGTCCAGAGTACTAGTTACCATTTCTCTCTGCTGCCCCATTCCTCTATTTGCATGAGTGCTAACACCAAGAGGTAAAAAGGTGACAGGGGAGGAACCTCCCACACACCGCCTGTGATTTAAAGCCTCAGCTCTGTTCCTGTGTGTTGTGTGAAGGAGGGTGTGTCCCTTCCCTCCAATCAGGGCTCAAAACTCTCCTCACTGAGCTCTGCACAGTGTAACTTCAGCTCCATGCCCCCTGCTTTTCAGAGCTGAGCAATCCTGTGTAAATTCTGCACTTTGAATAGATGTAGAGAAGAGAGGGCTGCTTATGTGGGATGATTTGTTTCATCTCTGTGTATCACCTGAGGTCAGTCACTTCAGTGAGTATATGTAAGGGTTTACAACCACTTTAACTGCTTGCTGGCCACCCACAGTACACCTATTGTGCGCCGGCAGTGGCTACAGGCTAGGCGACATACTCGCATGTCGCCGCCTGTTTCGGATTTTTGGGCATGCATGTGCACGCCCCCTGCTGACCCGTGCTGTAATTGGACACAGCACAAGTTTGTCAGCAGGTTTCAGCCAATGATTTTGACTGAAACTTGCTGATTGGCTGTGGCCAATCACAGCACAGTTTACAAACACACAGAACTCTGTAAACAGACAGCACTCTGGATGTTTCTTGTACCTGAAATCAAATCTGAAATAAAAAATAAAGCTCTATTTGTGTGAAAAATTATATAAATTTAATTTGGGTACAGTGTTGCATGACCAAGCAATTGCCAGTTAAAGTAACAGTGCTGAATAACAAAAGTGGCAGTGGTCATGGAGGGGGCAAAACCTTCCGGAAGTCAAGTGGTTAATGGTCTGTTTAAGTACGAGGCACTGAAAAAAGTAAAGTGAAGTAACAAACACCAATCAGAAATAATATTTTACATATGTCTAAGTCCTCTATCTGAAATCTAATTGGTTGCTCTGGTCTTTGTTCATCTTTGCATCTTACCAGCTAAGCCTCAAAAAGTAACTAAACTCAGCTGTGAATGTAGTACACTGATCCAGGGCTTTTTCTTTATTTAAGGCTTTGGCAGACATGCTGAAGGTCAATAGTACACTGAGGAGTTTAAATGTGGAATCTAATTTCATCAGTGGAAATGGAATACTCGCTCTTGTAGAGTCACTTCAATATAACACATCACTGGTTGAGCTGAAGATAGACAATCAGGTAAAAGCATGGTCATCAATGATATATGAGATATCTCTGATTTATTTGACTGAATGCAGAATTCAAAACAACATGAGATAGGGCATGGGCCGCACCTTCTTATTTTTCTCCTGTGTGTTAATAGCTGTAACTTCCAGAGATAAAGCAGCCTATGGTAAATTGGTCTCTGCACGGTCATCCCTGTTCACTCTAGCAATAAAACATGGTTGTCCAAATGGGTAGAGAAACTACAATGGGTATTGGTGCCTATCCCTAGTAGATATTAGACAGTTCACCAAAATCACCTAGTGATGCACTTATCTATCTATAGTCAGCTTATAGGATAACTTCACCTTTGGGAACATGTTAAATATCCGTCCCCCCCTCCGACAGATAATACGTGGAGAAGTTTCTGTCAGATTAGAAAATAGCGTCTTCTGTGAATTATTGAACTGCAAGTCCCATCAGCCTTAGCGGCTGTTGGCTTGTAGTTTCCAATGAACTACCACGTCACTGAAGCTTCCTGTCAGAATATCTGCTTGGCTGTACATACCAGCACGGCAAGCAGATATTCTGACAGGTCTGCAGGAGACCTGCATGGCATCATCGTTCTACTGATTGCTGGTGCAATGCTTTCCAGGCTCTCTGTACCCTCTGTCAGAGGGAGGGGTGGCTGAGGTCATGGGAACATGTTACATGTTCCACCCTAAAAACAGGTGGAACATGTAACATGTTCCCAAAGGTGAACTTACCCTTTAAGATCCTTGTAGTCTAATATCCTGATCTCTGGAAGATAGGAATATATTTTCTTCTGTCCATATATGTAATGGTCGTGCGTACCAGGGACCCGAATAGCTGTGTGGGTAGTAGCCATTTTGTTGACGTCACAAGTCTCCTATGCAGTTTCTGTATAAGAATGCATAACACAGTGACCTTTTTTCTTGCTCCCCCTCCCTCCTCCTTTCAGCTCATACAATCCACAAACTCTTAGCTGCTGTCAGACACCCCTTATCAGTCTGGTAATAGGACTAGCAGGATCTAACCTCCAATACACATGGCAGGGCCCATAAAAGTATCTAACTTAGCCACTTCAATGACTAGAAAGTTAACAGACATTGGGTCATAAATACCTTAGTTGGAATCCATAGAATATGCATATCTGTCTTTTGGTAGAACCCATCATCGCAGTATGTTCCATAACTTCTGAAATCATGACTGTATAGCCAGAATAAAGTCATATTCACCATCAGTTAGTAGGTAGCATTTTGAACCCAAACACCCCTATGATAGGAGGCACCAGAGTGGATTAGGCCTCCACACCCCTCCTATGAGAAGTAAATTTTAGAGATCTGTCATATTGATATCCATTGTAAAGCTTATTTCATGCTGGACAATAATATGCATGGTAGTCGGCTGTACAGAGTTATTGAAACTTATAGAAAACTGCATCTGGGACTGGGTCATAAATGGGTGACCTCCCAGCAACCACCCCTTAAACCGGATGATTGGTCAGATGGCCTCTGTCAACACCCCTTTTGATACCACAGAAAAGGGGGATGCCAGGACACTTTGACAGCTCTCTTTTAATATAAAACCAAAGAACACCTAACTGGACTGGAGAGAGCCACCATCTTTGCTTATCCATTGGACTCTGCAAACCAGGACATTAAGTATTCTTCATTTTCAACAGCTTTTTATTTTTCTGTTGCCTTGTGTGTTTATTCCCTTTTAACACCCTTGTTCTGTAAATATTTTATTTGCACCATTTTGAATTTTTCATTATTAAACCCTATTTTGAAAAGTGTTAAAATTATCTCTAGGGCTTTTAATGCAAACTAAATGATCCCTGTCTCTTTAAGAGTGCTACTGTATATGATAAATCTCTGGACATACCTGTCTGTGGTGACAGTGTGTGTACAGACGTTTATTCTTCATATTTGTTCTTGCTAATATTGTGAAGGGTTGATAGGCTCAAAGCTAGCTGTTGGCAGTTTGAAGTTTATTTACTTAGGTAACTCTCAGGCTGCTGGCACCTAGATTGTGGTCCTGCAAGCTGGAATATCTTTGTGCAGGATGCAGCTGAGAGTGGCATTGTTACGTTAGCGACAGCGTGGTGAGATTTGCCGGTCCTTTGTCACAAGTTGGTGAGAAGGGCAGGGGTCGGACACCACATTTTGTCGCAATATACACTTCATATAATGTACATTTTTTTGTTCCCTTTAGAGTCAAGCTTTTGGCAATAAAGTGGAAATGGAAATTGCAAATATGTTAGAAAAAAATTCAACGCTTTTGAAATTTGGCTATCATTTCACTCAACAAGGCCCCAGGCTGCGAGCCTCAAACGCAATGATGAACAATAATGATCTTGGTGAGTTGGTGCTGTAATCCACAAGCACTCTGTACTTTTTTTAAATAAGAGAAATTCTGCTGCATATTTTAATTACTCTTATTAGTATTTTCTTGTTATGCTCTTCGCATTTATTAGGGCAACTGATGGTATAGAATGTATAACCTGTGACTTAGTTAATGCATGAGCAAATTACATTTATAACATAAAAAAATAAATCTCTCACTATGCTGCAATGAATTAAAGGATGTTAAAATGCATCTCTCACCATGCAATGGACTCCAATTGGTGTCATGCTTGAAAACTGTCAAGTGGGATAGGCACCAAAACGCACAGTGAATTGAACAATATAAGAGATGCCAAAGATATGAGAAAAAACTCAACAGGTATTTCAGAATGTATTTATGCTACATTTGTCAACCTAAAAGTAATTATTGTTTAGTTTGTATATATTAGAATTTTCCCCATTTAGGAAATTCATTGATGCTTTCTGTTCTGGTAACGGATGACACCAAGACAGAAGGTGAAAGGAAATCTAACATCTTACAGTTGTCACTAAATAAGAGTAGAGTTAAAATCTGCTAGGGAGGACACATTTTAGGACACTTCTCCCACAGCACGAGGGCAGTACAGCATACCCACGGTTTTCATGCAGGTCATCTGTTCTTTGCCTTTGTGACTTCTCTTATGTCCTGCGGTCCTGCATGTAAGAGTTTTGGTGCACTTTGTGAAAGTGCATCAAAACTACTGGACATAATAGAATTCTAACCCACACAAAAACTGTGGGTACACTGTGCTGCATTCACGCGGCAAGAGAAGTGCACCGGATCAGTATGAAAGAGGCCTTATAGTGACAGTAGTGGGATTTGCCCATACCTTGGGAGATTTCTTCTCATTTCCTGTTGTGTATTGATATGAATTGAGAGCAAATGGACGTTACATGGACGTTAGTTTTTAACTAACATAGATTTAAACTACTTTATCCAAAACAAATTTGGTAGGTGTTCTATTTTATATCTGAAAATAAAGAATTCTACAGAGATGTTATTTTTTTTTTCAAATCCATATGTATACCTATCTTTTTAGGAGTCTTTCCCTTTTTGTACTTAGATGGTACACTACAACGTGATCTGGGCAGAGCTGAATACACAAGTTTATAATAATAAGAGACTGGGCTAATTGTTCTTACATTTTCCCCCTGACGTTATACAGTAGTGAATGTTTCAATATATAACTTATTATGGCTAGGTTCACATCTAAGCAGCTATGCGAGATGCGATTTGCATGGATATGGCAGCCCAATTATTTGAATGGGCTGCCGTGCCTCCTGAAACTCAGGGAAAATATCCCTGCAGCATTACAGAAATTTCAGCCCGCACGGAACCTGCAAGTACATTGCAGTTCCCAGTGGGGAAGCAATTTCCAGTGCGGGTTAATGGAACCCACATGCATCCAAGGTATTTTTCTGTGCGGGTGGTTGCGGCTGCGGGAACAGCTGCGGTCCCGCAATGGCAGTCACTTGCAGATGTAAACCTAGCCAGGATTTGCAACTTCTCAAAAATATGTTACTCTTCCTTACTTGTTCTTTTTTTGACTGCCCATAGAAACATGCAATCTGCTTCTTGTTTACAGCTCGTATACATAGGTCTGATGTCCCATGGCATAACTTTTCAACTCTGGACTTGGAAGATATATAAGTACAGAAAAAATATCTCTATAAATTTCTATTAGCAATGTCTTGTCTATTCCACAAGCCATGTTCACTTCTGCCACCTTCTGGCTGTCCACAGCCTTTGCTTTATTCTTTCTGCATTTCATCAAAATACTTTTTCTTTATCTGGACATTTCTGTTTTTGTGCTTTTTTTTTTCTACCGCTTTTTTGCATTTTTAACTTTTACTTTTCTATATATTTAAAATATTGTACATGAAAATTAATTTAAGTTGTTTTATTAGTGGTTTGAAAAATGAAACCTACAGGAAGAGCAATTGAAATCACTTAGAATAGGTACTTAGCTGATAATAAGAATGATATACAACTAAAATTCCAAAAATGTTGGGATGCTGTGTAAAATCTATAATGCAGTGATTTGCAAATCTCCTAAATCTCTTTATTCACATATAGAATAAAAAATAGAAAACATATCAAATGTTTTTAAACTGAGAAAATGCACCATTTTAAGAAAAAATAAGATTATTTTAAAATTGGCAGTAACATGTCTCAAAAAAGTTGTGAAAGATCCATGTTTACCATGGTGTAGTTTTAACAACACTCTGTAATGGTTTCGGAACTGAGGAGACCAGTTGCCGGAGTTTGGGGTAAGGAATGTTGTCCCATTGTTGCCTGGTATAGCATTTTATAGATTTTAACTACTCAACAGTCCTGGGTCATCTTTGTTGTATTTTTTGGTTCTAAATGCAGCAAATATTTTCAGTTCTTGAAAGGTCCGGACTGCAGCCGTGCCAGTTAGGCCCCACTATGAAGCCATGCTGTTGTCATAGATGCAGTATGCAGTTTAGCATTGTCCTGCTGAAATATGCTAGGCCTTCCCTGAAAATGACATCATCTGAATGGGAGCATATGCTGTCCTATAACCTGAATATATCTTCAGCATTGCCTTTCAAGATGTACAAGCTGCCATTCTAAATGCACTAATGCAGTCCCACACCATTAGAGATGCAGGCTTTTGAACTGAGTGCTGATAACTAACCGGAAGGTCCCTCTACTCTTTAGCTCAGAGGACACAGTTCCAATGGTTGCCATAAAAAAAAATGTCAAATTTTGGTTCGTCTGACCACAGAACAGTTTTCCACTTTGCAACAGACCTGTTTAAATAAGCTTTGGCCCAGAAAAGTTGGCGGCATTTCTGGATCATGTTCAGATAAGGCTCTCTGCATGATAGAGCTTTAACTTGCATTTCTGGATGTACATTGAACTGTGTTTACAGACAGTGATTTTTTGGAAGTGTCCCTGAACCCATGCAGTGATGTCCATCACAGAATCATGCCTATGTTTAATGCAGTGCTGTCTGAGGGCCCATACATCATGGCCATCCAATATTGCATTTCGTCCTTGTCCCTTGTGCAGAGATTTCTCCATATTTTTTTTTAATTTTTTGATGATAGATGTAGATTATAATATATTTAAAGTATTTGCAATTTTACATTGAGGAATATTATTCTGAAATTGTTTGGCAATTTTTAGACGCAGCTTTTCACAGATTGGTGAACTTCTGCCTATCATCTTTACTTCTGAGACACTCTGACTCGGTGATGTTACTGACCTGTTGCCTGTGAACCTTGATTAGTTGCAAAATGTTCTTGCAGCTTTTCTTTGATAGTAACACTTATTTTGCCAGCTTTTTGTTGCCCTGTCCAAACTTTTTTGAGACGTGTTGCTTACATCAATTTCAAAATTACCTTATCTTTTCCTTAAAACACTACATTTTCTAAGTTTACACATTTCATATGTTTTATATTCTCTATTGTAAAAAATAAGGGTTTATGAGATTTGAAAATCATTGCATTCTGTTTTTATGTAGATTTTACACAGCGTCCCAACTTTTTTGGAATTGGAGTTGTATGTAAAGGCCGTTCCTTAACGGGCCCACTATTAGTGTTATAGAGAGGTCTCTAATGACCATAGAAAATAAATTCCTGGGTTTCAGGCATATTCACACTTTAACCAATACAACCTTTTTTGTCTTTTAGCTATTCAGGGTAGCAGTGCTTTCCCTACTGAAGTCCCTGTTTACTGCAGGAGAAATATAAGTGGTCAGCAGAACTGAATATTAGCATTTGAGCTTTAGGTCAAAATGAACCAAAAACAGCCTGATCCCTCCCCTCTATTGAATATACTTGTGTCAGTTGCAACGTGGAAAGCCCTTTAGGGCCATTTAGGGCTACCATCAGAAGTGCTAATCTTTCCAACTTGTTTTAAATATGTATGTATGATAGGGCCAATCCTTCCCTTCTGTCAGTGAGAAGAGGTACAGAAGCTCAGAATTGTGCAAACTCTGTTAGCCAAGTCAAAAGGTAGAATTCTGGAGGTCTTGGAGGTTTCAGGGATGGGCAGTTGGCTTTATGGCTGTTGTTCTAGGGGAGGGATATGCTCTTCTCACATAGCAACTAAAGAATTGTTTTAAAAAATGAAGGGTAACCAAGGATTTTTTTTATATATATTGAATTTCCTCTAGGATGTGATGAAAGACAGCTACAAGTTCTAGGGTAAATGTTTATTTGTTTGCTTGAGCAGCCTGGAAATCCTAAAACTCATGGCTCTCCATGACAGAAATATCAACCTAATTATTGAAGTGAGGGCTTGGCTCCCTCTAGGTCACCTTTCATAAATATGGACCAATAGTGGGGTGTGGTAGATGAGAGGGAGTAGGAACCAAGCACTAACTCCAGAAATGAATCTAGTGTTTCCATAATAGAGCACTATGTGTTTTGGGGCATTTGAGCAGCTAATTAACACACTCTTAGCAATTGACAAAACAATGTAAGATGGCAAGAAGGCAGTTAGCATGGCAACAATAAAGGTGATTTTTGGACTTTGCCGTCAAAGTGAAGTATCATGCTAAAGCTTGGCATAGATGGGTGGAATTTTGAATGAAAATTCTTGGGAAAAGTAGATTTTAAGGAAATGTTGTTTTTCTAGCTATTAGTGGGTCAAATCAACATTTGGTTTCAACCACGGTGATAAGAAATTAGAAGGAGCAGGATGGAAATTGTTTCTCAAATGAACGAATTTCTAACAGTGTATGTGGTTTTTATTTGGTAAAGTCCATTAATTTAAAAACCGCAAACACATGTTCTGAGAATATTTTAAGGCAAGCCATAGACAAGTAGAAAAACGTACAATCTGTTGAACGAAAATCAAAATTGTTCAATTTTTCATACGATCGGGCCATCATTGTTTTGTAATTTTTGCAAAAACATTTTTTTTTCTTTATCTGTGGAAGTGATGAAAGTGATGGGTTTATGATGCTAAATAGTTTGCTTCACACGCTTCCAGTCACATCTGTCTGGATTCCTTGTTGTGATTACAAGGCTGCAATACACAAAATGTTGAACTCCCTAGTCCCTTAGTCAGCTGTGGCTGCAGGAAATTTTTTATTTCCTCTAGTAGAAAACACACACACAACACTATGCTCATCAAAATAAGACATGACAGAACTTCTGTGACAGAACCTTTTTTTTTTTTTTTTTTTTTTTTTTTTTTTTTTGCTCATGCATATTTTAGTTTTATTACATTTTGTTTTAATGATAACCCAATAAACTATTAGAAAATTTTTGTTCTGATAAAAATTTCCAACATGTTTGGTCATGTTGTTTCGATGGGGACACAAAAATCGAGGACACAGTAATTATTTGAAAATTTAATGATTGGCCTATCAGCTTTGTTTTTTGTTTGTTTTTCTACTTGTCAAGCCTGCTTAACCTCTTAGCGCCGGCGATACACAAATATGCAGCCTCTTGGCAGGTGGGCCTTGATGCCGAGAGGCCACATATTTTGGTAGCAGATGTAAACAAACATGTTCCGAGAGTGCATGCCCTGTGCACTCCCAGCACAGTTACCGGCAATCGCTATTTACAATCGTGAACTTTCCGATCATGTGACCACTGTGACAGCCAATCATAAGCCCAGCCCTGCCTCTCAGCATCACAAACCCCTTGAAGGGTTGGGAGGTGCAGCGCCAAGGGGTTAAGAATGTTTATACAAATTTTCCTAAGACTTTTCCTAAGAATATTCATTCAACATTCTATCTATCCATTGCTGTCTATGGCCAGCTTTAGAAAACCTAGGTGAGGATAAATAAGAGGAGGAAATAGAAATCTTTTATGGGTTAACCTGGGCAATTACATAAATAACTAATGACTGTCCCCATACAGACGTGTGCTGAATAGGCTTTATTTAATAAGGCATTCCAGAGAGAAGTGATTATATCTACATTTCTGTAAACCATAGACGCCTCTTAGATTTCAACTTTCACCAACCAAGATGAAACAATGACTGATTACTGTTTATTGGTTTACTAAATTTTGGGCCATTTTCTTAAATAATCATATGATCATTCAAAAATCATATCTGTAACTGCAAGGTCGATTCAACTTGAATAGTAATTATTCGATCTTTGTTATGTTCTAAATATATTTGCTTTTCTTCACCAGTGAGAAAGAGAAGGCTGGCCGACCTGGATGGCCCAATTTTTCCAAAATGTCGAAGTGGGGTGTAGAGCTTGAGGAATGCTCCACACAGCAGGACCCCTTCCAGTAAGAGTTTGTACCAGAGTGTGGAATCCTGACAAGAGAGTGAGAACCCAGCAAATGTGTTACATACCTCAGTCCTCTGTTGTCAAATTTTATGCACCCGAATGTATCATCATCATGTTGCCTACAACAGTAATCCATATAGTATATCTGCTGGCAATTCCTCCTTCATGACCAGCCACCAGATAATGCAACATTCAGTTGTTTTACTGCTGCTTCCAGTGCCACTTGGAATCGGCACAAAGATTGTCTACATATATTTGTGACTCCATAGGTAATATATATGTTTAATGAACTAGTAACCAATATTGAGCACATGACACATAATGTATTACTAGCATATCTGAAAAAGCATAATAGAGACCATCATTGACATTATTGCACAGTTTCAAAGATCTCTACAGAATCCAAGCCCTCTGCAGTTACTGCATATACAAACTGTTGTCAGTTGGTCAATCTGGCGAAAGAAAAGCATAAGTTAGTTAAAACCTTTGAAAAATACAGGGGCAAAAAAGCATATTTAAGATTTCAAGTTAACCTCTAAAAAGCTAGTTTGGTACAGCTGTCTTCATTGGGAATAGTAGTAGTAGCTATCATAATTTCCCTTTACAGCACTTTTCTTACTATAAAGAAATATTGCCATGTTGGTAACTAAATGTCCTTCTGGTTGTTATTCCACTCTGGTAGTATATGGCATCATTCGTTTTTCAAATGTGTGCAGAAATAATTATAAAGAAAGGTATTGTTAAGGCTTCATTCACAGTAGGGCGTTTCAAATTGCGGGCAGAATTGCCGCAATTTGAAATGCCCTAGTGTGAATAAAGCCTAAGTAATGATGCATTTCTGCAGCAGGGTAGCCCCTCAGTTCAACTTTGTGATAAATACAACCTGTATATTGACACTTCCCTGAATTGCACTGTAGCACTGTTCAGCACTGCACAACACTGTGTTGACTGTACAGAGTAGTTGGGGCTATTTTACATGAGCCCGAAGTGCTCTGGGAGGCACACTCCATCCGTTCATATATAGTTCCCTATCTCATGGACTGTTAGAAAACTGTAGACAGTACTATAACGGAAAAACAAAAGTGCTATGTATTAACATAATCATACACATACATAATCCTGTGCGGTTTTTTTCTCTTCCCTCTCAATACAGGTTTTGATTAAATATCCTACCATATAGTTAGTGTGATAAATACATTTTAGGAGTACAGGTAAAACAAAGTCTGTTGGGTAGAGAAGAAGGCCGCACACTGATTGCATCAGCTTGTGTAAGTGATCCCTGCCTGAAACCACTTCTTTCTAATGTATTTCACCCTGATTAGACTTAATTGTGGAAAACAGACCTACGATTAGCATCAGAATTACATCAGCAGGAGTGGATTTTTTTTTTTTTTTTTTTTTAAAAAGACTGTTTTGCCGCCTGTAAACTCCCCTGCTACTCAACTCCTAAAAACCCCTATAGTGTGCATGGACACATAGGCTAACATAGAGGGGGGTTAACAGGCAAAGAAAAATAAAAGCTCAAAACATCTCAAATGCCAGTAGGAGAAGCATCTTTGAGCTGCAGTGTGCATGAGGCCTAGTAAAGTGTGGAATAGTCAAGTGTCAGCAGGACTTGGTGCCTGTATATATGATTAGTTATCATCACAGTTGCACAAGGCATTTACTTATTTTAGCATTGAAGTCAGAACTTCGAGATAAAGGTTTTTGTTGGTGTGGTTGCCAACATCCCTATTTGATTACATCAATTGAAAAACCCCCTTCATGGGATTTTAAAGACAACCATAAGTACTCAAAACATGAATATAAAAACATTCTATTATCCATATTGTAAAAAAAGGTTGATCAACTTTAAAAATTTGGTTTTTTCCAGAAACCAAATATCTAGTAGTTTACAATATACATTGTTTCACACATCCACATTCTCCACAAAAGTATTGCATTTTTAATATATCCTTATTAAAGAGCTAGTTTTCAAATAGTACAATTGTCAACAGTCTATACACAGTGGTATCCCCAGCTAACACATGTAGAAAACATGTTCACACTTTACAACCTGTTGAATCTTGATTATTAGTTGGTCAGGTTGTGGTTCCAACGCGTTACACTAGTTCCTTCCTCAGGAAAATAATACCACTCTGCAATGCAAAGTTCTATGCATAATCAACTACATCACAATAAATAATCAAGGAAAAAATTAATAATTCTCAAATGCATACTAAATCACAAGGAAATTGTGATTTTCCGGCGTATAAGACGACTTTTTAACCCCTGGAAATCTTCTACAAAGTCGGGGGTCGTCTTATACGCCGGGTGTTGTGCTGAAACCTTACCTGTACTTCCGAGCTGACGCTTCTGCGCATGTCTTCGGCAGCAGTAGACGATCGCTGATCACCATTCCTCGCAGAACTGCATGAGACGTCGGATGCAGCCGTTCAGTGCTCGATTGAGCTTGACTGAAACTGTGACATGTGCAGAAGCGTCTTCTTGCCGCTACCCGATGTGTATCCCTTCTCTGCATATCACAGTTTCAGTCAAGCTCAATCGAGCACTGAACGGCTGCATCCGACGTCTCATGCAGTTCTGTGAGGAATGGTGATCAGCGATCGTCTACTGCTGCCGAAGACATGTGCAGAAGCGTCAGCTAGGCAGTACCTTGCAGGAAATACGGTAATTAACATTAATTATTATATATTAATAACTGTGGCAGTTCTCAGATCATCTTGGAGACAGGGAGGGCTGGGCAGGCAGGGAGAGCTGACCCACCCAATCCAAGCAGGCTTTGTATGCAGTGTGCACAGAAAATACTGGTACATCGCTTGCCGTGATTGGTTGGTAGAGGGGGGTAGTCTTATACGGCGAGTATAGCCCAAAGCCTATATTTTAACAGGAAAAGTAGGGGGGTCGTCTTATACGCCCATTCGTCTTATACGCCGGAAAATACGGTATTTTCTTACATGTATCATGATCTGTTAAGCATGGAAGACATCTTCCATAGCTGAGGTGTGACAGATAGTTGCTGCTGTCCCCCCCTGTGGATTCACACAAGGACCCTTTGACCATCACCACCCACTACCATAAGGGAAAAAAGGATATATTATTAAATCTAACTTTCAATGAAGGGATTATATATCTCTCACATAGTGAGCCAATTAATAACTAACTAAGAAAGTATTGGGGCTGAGACCTCACCCATAATTTATGGCTGAATAAATCCTACAAATATGTATTTCTGCTCTTAGAATTGGGTAAACCCAAAAGGAAAACCATGTCACATATTTTTGCCAAAGAATCTCCGGCAAAGGGCCAATCCAAAAATTCATTGTCTTCAAGCAAAAAAATATATACTAAACCACCAATTAATATCACAAAAAATCCCTCTCTATCTATGTAAATTATTCCCAGATTCAAATACTTCAGCTTGCCTCATCCAAACCTCACTTTTGCTGAGGGAGGCTGTCACATTTAAAGTGGTTGTAAACCCTAAGTATACCTAGTGAAATGACTGGCATCAGGTTATACACAGATGTAAATATTCTTACATAAGTTGTACTTGTTTATCAACAGCCATCTTTCCCCTACATACATTCAGAGTGCACAATTTATACAGTATCTCTCAGCTCTGAAAAGCAGGGGGCGGGGAGCTTCAGTTACACAATTTTCAAGAGTTCTGAGAGCTGATTGGAGGGAAAAGCCACTTCTGCTTCACACAGCACACGAGAGCAGAGCTGAGGCTGTCAATCTGCTGGAGGTCCCTCCCCTGTCACCATTTTTCTTTTTGTGTAAGAAAAACTTGTCAGAAGCGACTCATGCTCATAGCAGAGGAATGAGGCAGCAGACAGAAATGACACTTAGTACTCTGAATTGAGACAAGTAGACATTATAGAGGGATATGGATTATTAATTTTTCATGTTTGAGGTTTACAACCACTTTAAGGTTCAGTGAATAAGAAGAAGCTGAGACAAATTTCTGACATTTGAAGAATGACCTCTGTGGGTTTGGGAGTTACAGGACTCTGAAGACAGCTAATGGTACATGCAGACAATTCTAAAAGACTGCAATTTACTCTCACCATCATGTTACTGCCTTGAGCTGTACTAAATGCTATTCATTATGAGTTAAACTTTGTTTTTACTTTTTCTACTGCTTTACCTAATTTTGAACTAAATAAAACTTTATCCTTAAAAAAAAAAAAGTGGGATTCATCATAAGTCAACAATGCAGACAGGAGATGTAAACTTCCTGTAACTGTTAATATTGCACTTAATATTACAATGCAGTTTCAAATCTATACCACACTGTGCGTTGTCCTCTTTTTATGTTACCCTTATGTGCCTTATATTGTATGGCTGTGTTGTTTATTGAAGTTCAAAGTATCAAATAAAAATTATATTTAATTGACCCAGACTAGTCTATGCTTTTATGAAAATATGAACTTATTGTACTAAATCACCATACCGAAAAAAAATCACACTTGTTTTACTTATGATTTCGCTTTTATGTTGAATACATTTTAATTGCACCTATAGTATAGATTATTTTATACTCTACTATACTTTGCTGGGATACGCTCGCTGACACTCTGTAGGTAAACTATGTCATTGCGCTGGTTCTCTCCAATGTCATATTTGTTATTGCGCTTGTCCTCTCTAATGTTATATTTGGGATACCATGTTTAGAGAAAAATAAGTGATTTTTATTGCATTTTACTTCTTGCTGGTGATTTGCAAGAGTTCCCGTACTTGCAATGAAGCGACTGCCAACCTGATTAGTCACTCAAAAGAATTGGAATAAAGCACTCTATGTAGTTTGAGCCATTACGAATGCTTCCCTTCACCAGAGCGTTTGGGTAAGGAAATGGTTGAAAGGATAAGTTCACCTTCAGGAACATGTTACATGTTCCACCCATTTTTTTCTTGCAGCTCTCCCCCATCCACCCCCCCCCCCTGTGACAGCAGGC